TGGGGCCAACAGGACAACGTCATCTGCAAAAAGCAGAGACGAAATCCTGTGGTCCCCAAACCGGACTCCCTCCGGCCCCTGGCTGCGCCTAGAAATTCTGTCCATGAAAATAATGAACAGAACCGGTGACAAAGGGCAGCCCTGCCGGATTCCAACACGCACTGAAAACAAGTCTGACTTACTGCCGGCGATGCGAACCAAGCTCCTGCTCCGATCGTACAGGGACCGGGTAGCCCTTAGCAAAGGGCCCCGGACCCCATACTCCCGGAGGACCCCCCACAGGGCGCTGCGAGGGACACGTTCGAATGCCTTCTCCAGATCCACGAAGCACATGTGGACTGGTTGGGCAAACTCCCATGAACCCTCTGCCACTCTGAAGAGGGTATAGAGCTGGTCCAGTGTTCCACGGCCAGGACGAAAACCGCATTGTTCCTCCTGGATCCGAGGTTCGACTATCGGTCGAATTCTCCTCTCCAGTACCCTGGCATAGACTTTCCCGGGGAGGCTGAGGAGTGTGATCCCCCTATAGTTGGAACACACCCTCCGGTCCCCCTTCTTAAAAAGAGGGACCACCACCCCGGTCTGCCAGTCCAGAGGCACTGTCCCCGACCGCCATGCGACGTTGCAAAGGCGTGTCAACCAAGACAGCCCAACAACATCCAGAGACTTGAGGTACTCAGGGCGGATCTCATCCACCCCCGGTGCCTTGCCACCGAGGAGCTTCTTAACTACCTCAGTGACTTCAGCTTGGGTGATGGACGAGTCTACCTCTGAGCCCTCAGCCTCTGCTTCCTCATCGGAAGACATGGCGCCGGGATTGAGGAGATCCTCGAAGTATTCCTTCCATTGTGATGCCAACCGTCATGCTTTGTTTTTCTACTTTCTCTCTGTGGTCTCTGTTTAGAGCAGGGAGGGGGCTGCTCCTCTCTCACACAGGCAGTAAGTAATGCGAATGCTTGAAGTGTGACGTCACGGACATTTAACCAATCAGCGGTTTTCCTATAATGGACAAAACTCTTTGAACAAACTGCACAGACGACAGCCAATGGCTGACTAATACATACGATCTGCACTTGTGCGGCTGAAATAACTCCCCCATCATCAGGTGGCAGTATCCGTATTCACCGTTAAAAGAGTGAAAGAAGAAGAACTAGCCTGTGGACGTATAAGCTATAAACAAAGCAGCTCTCCTTCAACACTGCTGCTGTTTATAGCTGCTTCTAATGGAGAATATGTCTGACAAGAAGTTGCAAATGGCAAAGCTGTTCTCTGCCCTTGGTCTTTAGGATGTAAAAGAAGAAAGGAGGTTGTGCAGGTGAAAAAAAAGGAGAAACTGCACTAAATGGGTGAAATCATGGACACTACAGACAGGCTGAAGGGGCTTTCCCAAACCATTCTCTTCTCATGCATTGATTTACTAAGCTCAACAGCTGATCAGAGTGGTCTCTCTCTCACCGACGAGGCCCGACACCGATTCAACATTTCAAATCATCTGAAAAGCCACTGAAAGGGACGACTAGTGTCAGTGGTCTGGGACACACGGGGGGGACAAGCCCCAACAATTCAATTCAATTTTATTTGTATAGTGCCAAATCACGACAAAGGTTGTCTCAAGACACTTGACAAAGTCTAGACCTTACTATTATTATTATTATTATTATTATTATAGAGGAAAAACCCAACAAGCACTGACAGTCTGACGGTGGCTGACTGTCAGTAGTATTGGTGCATCTACTGTATTTATTAAAAAACTTTTAAAATCTCTCAGATATACAGTAGTGCATGTTAAAATGTTAACAGTATCGTTTAACACCGTTTTGTTAGTTTGTGCACACGTGATTTACTTGTGCACACAAATTTGTTTGTTTTTCTCCAGGACACCTGCCAGGCTCCACAGAATAGCAGCAAGTGGCTGCAACTCTCATTTGCTCTTTATCTCACACTGTGACTGAAAGATCGGACATTTCCAATGATCTAAATTCAGTACAATTCTAAACCTGGCTTCCTCTACCACTGACTTTAGGGTATAAAAATCAATCCAGCAGCGAGTGACTAAAGTGGTGGTTGGAGGAGCAAACAAAGATTCATCTCTCTGTCCCAGTTAATAGTTTTCTCCCTCTGTCTTACACTCAAACTCTGCCAAAGTGAGCAGTGAGAAAAGACAAAGCGGCAGATTAAGATGGAATTAAAAGTGCACCACATGAGGACTTTCTAATCTTATTGGGACTGTCGTTAGTGGAACACATGACCCGACACCAAAGCACCACCTGGGAGCGACCCTGAACCAGTCAAATCCACAAGGCCTCCTCCTTCCACTCACATCAGTGCATCTTCTCTCGCCTTCACATTTTATCTCCATTCTGCCTCCTCCCCTGTCTTATCTGTGCTCTTCTTTCATGTCATTACCTCTGTGGCGTTCCATCTTTCCTCATCCTCACTTAACCTGTCTCGTGTCCTTTCCTCTCTCCATTACCTTCAGCCCTTTTTTACTGTTGTCAGTGTATCTTCTATCCCTTTGACACTCACTGGCAACTGTCTTTCTTCCTCCATTTATTCACACTTTATTTTGAAGTCTTTCCATTTCTCATCTTCTCCCTCTTTTAGACAAAACTCTATATAATCACTCTATTTCCACTTGAGAACACTGTTTCTTTCTTTTGCCCTGTCATATCAGCCTCCGGTCTCTCCTCCACATTAGAGCTGGAACACTGTCTCAATTCGTTCATTCTTGGTGAAGTCAGCCAGAGATAATGTCCCATCTGCCCTTACCTCAGCGCTCTCTTTGTGAATTCAGACTCTCAGCCATAACACACCACACAAATGTTCTGGTACCCCTCCATGACACATGTACACACATCGGCTGCTCTACAATTTGTCATTTATCTTTTTATGAATGTAGCTCAGGTAGTCAAGTCAGGCTGTCTGTACCAGACTACTATACTCTGTTTGCTGCTGGAGAAGAGGGAGAGCGTGAGGATATTTTCTTTTATGCTTGCGGTTTCTTACGTAGTATCCTTTCACAGTTTTACTCTAAATGTGGTCTTTCAATCCAAAAAATAAGTACAGTAACCACCCAGATACACAGAATCTGATCTGTAACAACCTTTGAACTTGTGCAGACTGAACTCACTGCAGCCTTGGTCAGAAAACATTAGAAATGATTCTTTTTTAAAATATTTTTGCTGTTAATGCATAGGAAAAAAAAACAAATTTGATAAACAGTGGCTGTTGAGGATAGAGTGCAACATGTAAAATAAAATACAGTTACAACTATCAGAGTGGCTTATTAATAGTCTGTTAATGAAGACATCACCTTTGCTCCTTCTTCTCAACTTGATAAAAGCACCAGGCTTTTCAGAGGTGGGTTAAAGTGAGAAAAAGGACAGCGAACAAAACAAGAAAGGTGCAGAAGAAGACCGTCCTGTGCTTCACTCTCATTTAAACATCAAACCCCACTGTGTATCCATCTTGTTCTGGATGTAAATAAAACCGTCCTTCCCATTTTTTCCAGCTCCCCAATATAGCAAAAGCCAAAATACAGCCTCAAAGTGAAATATTTGTCACTGAGCTGCCCAGAGAAGAACTGCATAATTTGTTGGGGCTGGCAGGTTTACTGCTGCTGTGCTCCACTTACTCCATCAGTGTCCACATCCAAGGCTTTTCTCGCACAGCCTCTTTCACTTTCTTTCTTCTAAAAGCTTAATTCTTTCCCGTCCTGGTCTCTTCCCATGAATTACCTGCCAGGAGTAATGTCTTACCTGGGTTTGCGGCCCCTCTGTTTGGGCACTGAGGCTTTGCTGTTGGCTTGGCCATGGTTCTTGACCTGGGTCCCTTGGACATGCCCTGGGACTTTACCGTGGAGTCCTGGGGTGGGAGGTGCTGGAGAAGAGGGAGAACATGAAGAGAATGTGGACATGAGTGACTGTTAAAATAAAATCCTCTTCAGGGCTTGGTGCCACTTTCTACATACAGTAACTTTAGTGATTCTTGACCTGATCTTGATTTTTTCATTATGTTTAGTGAAAAACTGCTGTGACAAACCACTACTCTGGGGTGAGGGGGTACAACCTCACTGCAGTTCAGTTCCCAACAGATGTATCCCCAGGTTGGCTGTTGGCAGGAAGCCAGCCAGGGATCGCAGATGATCACTTCACAGGTGATTCCTAATGTTTGTGTGCAGTCTATGCATGGAGAAGACCTGAAGTCTTGCATGTTGACCTTCCTCACAAGAGGTTCTCATGGGTCCAAAACTTTGGACCTGACCCAAAACGGACCCGTGGAAAGTCAACACAAACCTGATGTGCATAAATGAATTTTCACTTTGGACCTGATCTAAAATGGTGTCAACTCTAACACGCGCACAGAGAACACAAACGTCAGCAGCAGTATAATGATCAATCAGTTGATTCACTAATCTCTTCACTTCCTTATCACCTCGTTTTTCCCACAGTGACTGTGCCACATACATAATCAGAATCGGCTCAGACCGCACAGTCTCATTAGGGAACATATTAACATACAGGCCCGAGACCTAACCCAACCTGATTAGACTTTGGATCCGGTTCCTCAAAACCAACTGGACCGGTGAAGACCTCTACTTCTCACTATTAGGTGAAAAGAACCAGCTGATGACAACGTGCACTGGATTCAGAGCATGTCAGTCTTAGCTCTCCCATACAAGTGCCTGTTTTATTGCCTTTTCCAGTATATTCTGCACTGCCCGATACTGCACAGCAGGTAGACAGCAGGTAGCTTACAGCACGTTACAAAAAGTAAACAGGATGGACGAGCAGCATCAAGACTGTAGGTCATTTTATTTGCATCACTCTATGTCCAGTTAAAGATGAACACTAGTGCACTGGGAAAGGTGTGATTTTATTGGTTTTATGGTGGATTTCTGAGATATTCAGTGGATTCCCAGTTGTACTGCAGAGCTTTGTGCAGGCAAAAAGGACATAACTAAGTGGCTCTAAAGCATTTAAGATTTCCTAAACATAAATCAGCAAGGCCAAAAAAAGCATCCACATTTCTCACATAGTTGAAATTTTTTTTAAATGTATAAAAATTTACCACACTGGTGTTAATGGAAACCTCCTTTGACTTTTGCACACTTACATAATTAAAGCTAATATTTGATGCAATAATATAAATCACACATTCCATTTCTTCACATTTACATCTACTGTATATGCAATTTTTCATTTTCACAAAAACATGTTTTTTAGCTTTGAATGAATGTTAATGCGCCCACCCACACACAGATAGCATGCTCATTCAGTCCTAATTAAACCCAGCAATTACAACATAAGATTCATTTATCCCAACGTGTCTGATCATGATTTCAGGACATGTAAGAACAGAACAGCCATCACCTGTGCCTCCAATTACTACTCAAATGTTGCAGCTTTAGCACTTGTTTTCTTTGGTTTTGACCAAAGCTGAACATAGCAGACACAAACGTACTTTTATTGTACCACAGATTCAAAGTGAGCCCAGGTTCACCTTAGTTTAGCTGCATTTGTACACCACTTACGAGGTAATGAGAAAGAGAAAAGCAGTAAATCCTCATATTTGAGAACAGTGAACCAATGAATGTACTTTATAATTGACAATCTGTTCTGAAACTTGTCATATTTTCTATCAGTTGACTAAGACTATGTTAACACTGCAGGTCTTAATGCTCAGATCGGATTTTTTGCAGAAATTCGAATTTTTTGCGCTGTTGTTCACACTGTCATTTAAATGCGACTGCCATCTGTCTCATGTGTGAACGGTATACGGCCCTGAGGTGACCCGCATGCGCAGAAGAGGGCGTGACGTCAGACGCAGCGTACTGTGTTTGCGGAAATAAAAATGGATGTGGCTCGTGATAGCATGTGCGTAGCGATGTACCTGACAATTTGCAATCGAAATAAAGAAATAATAATAAGAAGAATATCAAGAAGGAGGAGAGCACAAATAATGCTTATGGCCTCGCCTCCTCCAGTGCAGAATTGTGACGTCTGTCGCATTTCAATGACATAAAAATCGCATGAAATGCGACCTGGCCGTTCAGACTGAAGTCGCATTGCAAAACATCGGATACGTATCCGATTTAGGACCACATATGAAAGTGGCCTGGGTCGGATTTGAAAAAATCGGATTTGTACTGTTCACACTGTCATAAGGAAATCGGATATGGGTCACATTTGGGCAAAAAGATCAGATTTGAGTCACTTCAGCCTGCAGTGTGAACGTGGTCTAATTGTTTCAGTGCCATCTAAATAAATCAGACCTTCGTGTTTAAATGAACATCGCAGCCTACCAACACAACTGCCTTGCACATTCCACTTTAACACAACCACTTAAAAACTAACGCACCTTCTCTTCACACGCCACAACAAAGACAACCCACACGCACTCCAGACACGTCACCGCGTACCTTGATTTGGGGGTAGAGGAGGTAGGACTTTGACCTTCGGTTTCCTTCCTCTTTTGCCAGGCACCTTAACTGGCACCTGAGCTGCTCCAGAGGCCACAGCGGTTTTCCCCACTGCCACATTCTTCAGGTCTGCCCTGCTCTCCCTCCCCTTGGCCCTGTGCTCCTTCCGCTCCTTGCCTTCCTTGGGCTCCTTGCTCTTCCTCAGTCTGACCACCAACGGCTCCTTCTCCTCCTTTCGCTTCTTTGGTTTACTGCTATCCCTTTCCTCCACCTCCCCTCCTCCTCTATCCTGTTCTCTCTTGTCCTTTTTCTTCCGTTTCTTCTTCACCCTGCCTCCACCTCCTCCATCATCCTCCTCACTCAGGGAGGAAGGAGGTCGCGGGGCTCCTCTGAGGTGCTTAGCGTCGTGGGCCCCGGCCGCTGCGCAGTGATTGGACGCTGCCGTGCTGCCCACAGGGGTGAGGAGGCGGAGCTGGTCCTTGGGGCCCACGACCAGGTGTCCCCGTGGGATTGTAGGAACTGCTGTTTGTGTGTTGTTTTGGTCCGAGGCAGAGGAGGAGGCTGCTGCAGCAGAGGCCGGGGGAGGTGTGTGCTTCAGGAGACCAGTGAACATCTGAAAAGGACAAGTATTCAAAAGTTTAGCATGGTCTGTCCCAAACTTAGGGTCACAGATACATTTTTATTGGGTACTGAGTAGAATGCATAACAGTGCTATGTGAATTCATTTACTTAATTCAAAGAGCATCCTTTTTCCTACGCTGGTCTGTTCAGCTCACATGCTGTGTGCAGGGCTCCCTCTCTCTCCTGGCTAACCTGATCTTGGGAAGTCTGGGAATTTTCTCAGCGGGGCAGTCTGTTTTTCCCCCAAACCTGACATCATAGCCTACAGCCTACACAACTCTTCGGCAGCTCATCTCACCTGCAGTGACACAAAGCTGCTGCCATCTCACCTGCAAAGTTGCATGTGGTAGCAAATGAAACTTAGAGAGATGGAAAACCTGCACCGATGGAAGAATAAACAACTGCTACATGTAGTGATGAGGAAAGTAGTGAGGAGGCAGAAGCATCAGAGAGGAGTGAACAGGGATGAGGTGCAAGTTTGATTGGTGAAGAGTCAGGCTACTCAACCTGCGGCTGTCTTCATCACCCCTAGCCAAGTGGTTACTAAATGCGGTCAGCGCAGAAAAGTCGGAATGCTAAATGTCTGAAAAAATGTTTGACTGTAAATGGGTCAAATACACATAGAAATCTGTCCTATGCCCAGTATAAAAATAAGAATGGGCTGCTAATTTCTCTCTTAGCATGTTTCTTATAGCACACTCCTCAGCCCAGCAGTGAAAATGATCTGAAAGTACAACATCGAGCTAACTCGGCTAAAGTTGGACTGTGCGTTCTGAATTTCAACAATGTACCATTTCATGTTGTCAGTGTCGATGATGTTTGTTTCCTAAAGGTTCATTATAATGTGGTGAGAAATGCAACATTACTCTCAGCTATTTCATTATTTCTGTGATGTACTTTTATTCATTCATTCATTCAGTTTCTACCGCTTAGTCCCTGAACGGGGTCACGGGTGGGGCCGGAGCCAATCCCGGCCGGCAATCGGGCGAAGGCAGGGTACACCCTGGACAGGTCGCCAATCCATCGCAGGGCTAACACATAGACGAACAACCACACATACACGCACGCACTCCTATGGGCAATTTAGAGACACCAATCAACCTAAGCTGCATGTCTTTGGTCAGTGGGAGGAAGCCGGAGCACCCGGAGAGAACCCACACAAGCACGGGGAGAACATGCAAACTCCACACAGAAAGGTCCCAGGTGGGGCCCGAACCCGGAACCTCCTCGCTGTGAGGCAACGGCGCTAACCACTGTGCCACCGTGCTGCCCGTACTTTTATAATAAAATAATTAATTTCATGGTTAGAGTTTTCATTATCAGTGCATTATAAATGTAGATGTTGTGGCAATCCATGATGTATTTTTGTAATCTTGGGTCCTGGGGAGAAACCTAATTTCTTTTTTGGGTCTCAAACTGAAAAGGTCTGGGGACGCAGGGTTTAGCATGATCCCACTGTTCCCATTCATTAAATAACGGTCTCTAGCTGCCAGTTCTAGTAAAGCTATAGTCAGTGAACACCTGCACAGATTACAGGCTTCACATAATAATAACCCTTTCCTTTCCTGGTTGCCCTTGTTTGTGAAAACCTCTGCAGGAAATGTTGTTTCACAGACAGTAGCTCAACAGAGAGCAAAGTGGAGATGAAATGAAAACAGCATTTCTATTAAACTCAGATTAGCAGAACAGTGCATGTAGTGCGTTGTTGTACCAATAGATTAATGCTGTAAAAATGTTTATTACACCATTCAGTGTATTTTACTGGGTCAGTTTACAGGGTTTGCTCTGCCCATTATTTGGATGACAGGCTTTATCTCAGAATTCAGTGTAATTACTACTGTTATCATTTGATTCAACTTTTTTTTGTAGCAAAATGGATCAAATGACAAAGACAAGAAATAGGAAAGGCTGGACAGAGAGAACAGAGGACTGGAGGGAATGACGGGGAGAAAGAGTCGGATAGAGAAGGACAAAGTCAGAAGGGAGAACGGAGGGTGAGACGCTAATGTTGAGTCATGGGTTGTTGATTTTTTTTTGTGTGCATGTTACCTAATTGAGGATTTAATGACTCATGAACAGCAAGCAGCGACACGCCGTGAAGAGAAATCACAAACATCACATTCTGAGCACGTGTCGTCTGATGTGTGGATCAAACTGTGACTACTAACGTAATATCCAGAACATCCTTCTATCAGCTCCAGATATAATAATACCATTAGATTATCAGCAATATCTCACCAAACAAAACCAAACGCAGAGGTTGACAGAGGCCGGACTGGTAGTGGAGGACAGCTCGAATGAGCCATGTGCTGGTTTGGCTGATGATTCAACAACTCCTTGACTCACAGAGGAGCCAGTAGGAGGACGGGTGTTACCAGGTGACCTTGCTGAAAGTGTTTTACATGACTCCAGTAAAGGAGAGGTCCCTAGCAAATGTACATTAACATACAGAGGAGCTAAGAACAGCTGTTATGGCCCTTAATCAGGGTGCAGTTGTTTTACCAAAAACAAATAAAAAGCAACATGCTTAGACTTGTTAATGGATGTTTAGTAAAGATATAAAAGGTGTGTGTGTCTGTTATTAGCTTAAGCACGTGTTTGCCTGTACATGTGACTAAGATCACATTTTATGACCATTTACTGCAGAAAAACTATTTATTCCAAAGGTTTCACGTACTTTCTCTTGCCACTGTGTGAGTTATTTGTCATAACTTGAAACTGTACCAGAGCCTGAACTTGCATTTCTTAATCTTTTTAGCCACCATTTGCGCAGGAACATCACTTTCACCACAATGCTTCTGCTTGCTTAGACACAAAAGCTTACAAAGCTAAAAAGTTCATTCCTTAGTGACGTCAACAGTCTTGCAGATGATGTTTGTAAATCCAGTTTGGATTACACATACAGTACCTTTAACAATGAGCCAACTATGTTTTAGTATTTACCATTCATGTCCTTACCAAAAAGAGAAAAAAGAAAAAAACCTTCGAGGGCCAGGGCGCTAAACAGTCAAACCATGACATCACTGTTTCCACCATCCTCATCCTGATCCACAGTATCCATACTCCAGTCAACTGAACTGTTCCACAGCGCTTCACCAGCGCAGTGTCCTGCAGCAGTACTGTCACTGTGAGGTGAGGGATTTCTACCAGGGGTACATCTGTAACACTAATGGAGGACAGATGGAGACTAAGAACTTTAGCTTCCTCCCATCCACTTCTGATGTTTACACCAGGCTGTCTGCTCAAAGACATGAGGCAGGAAACAGGAGCTTAAGTGTTTCATATTATAATAACTCAATGGTGTCTGCATAAATACTCGTATAAAATATGTAAATATAAATATTCATCAGTATTAGGTGAACCCCAAGGTCAGTGCAGCATGTGGGCAAACAGTGCAAAACTGTGGAGATGCTTCAATATCCAGTGGTGACTTTATATCAGGTAGACGGAAACTGCAAGTCCACCGAAGTTGAATACAGCTTGGACTGAAATGTCAACTACGTGAATCAGGAGTGTCTGAACCATTGGACACCCACTGATGTAAAGCAGCCTGTGTGAGAAAACAAATGCAGCGGTACTAACGCCTCAGCATGAAGCTGATTTTCATCACTTCTTCTGTATTGTTCTACCACAGTAACAGCTTTTTGAATATGCAGGTTAAGTGCTGCAGCCAGACCCAACGCAGGGGCAGTGATGTTTCACTAACGAGTCAACAAGGTGTTTTGCAACATACAAAAACATGATGACGATGATAATAAGCAGCCTTATTAGATGAATTTAAGTATTTATAAATATGTGCCATTACAGTCCAGTTCTAAACTATTGAGAGCTTACTATTCATATATGAGAACCAAAAAATAAATATACAATTAATTTAAACATATATACAATTTAAAACAAAACAACACTAACTACAGCAAAAAAAATGGACTGAAGCATTTACAAACACTGATGACTATAAAATAGTTTGTTCAGGGCCGCTGTATTGGATTGTGGGTACAATAAATACCTCATTAATTTGTCCTTGACCTTATTTTAATAAGAGACTACTGTGTGAATTAAAGCTTCTTCTGCACTATTTAATGTCACCACAAGCAAAAAAACTAAACTTTCCGTTCCAAACCTATAGAGCTTACAATCAGTCAGAATTACAAGATAAACTAATCAAGAGACGTGTGACGTCTGACCTCTGTGATGAAATCATCTGACCCCACATTTGCTAACATGTACTGCTGCTTGGCTCCAGATCTGAAGGTGCACTCAGTCCGAGCTGGAAACCGCACCAGGATCCTTGAACGAAGGTGCGTCTGTTTCCCAAAAATCTGTTTTATGATGATGTTATTATTTAGCGTCTGCTATTTCATTTGGCGTCTCGATTTTACGGGGGGAGGTGTTCTCTGGTGAGATGTCTGTTTACATCCCCGGGCATTGTTTATGTTTACTTTATTTTTCCATTTAATTATTTACTTACTTATTTTTGTCACAAAGCCTGTCAGATTTCCTCCTCAGTGGTTTTGGTAATGACTGTAACTAAGGCCTATGTTTTATAATTATATCAGCTCTGTGCGTGTGGCTCTGCTGAACGATTTAGGCTGAATTAGCTGAAGACTGAGCAGGAGGACTAGATTAGGCCACATTACAGAATCACATTCCAGTTTGAGGGCATTCTGCTCATGCTTTGCTCAACAAATATGAATGTGAGTGTGTGTATATAATGAATAATCATATGCTACATGATTGGTCCCTGCAGGGAAACGGTCACGGTTTGCCACACCACAGAAGGTCAGAGCATGGGGTCAGCTACTAAACACCATGCAGGGACTGGGGAGGGACCACTGTCCTGTGCAAGAACATGTCAGCTTCGTGCTTTCACAGACTCAAGCTTGAAATTAAACCAAAATGTTGAAATAACCTCACAACAAATCAAAAAATCCCTGAGGCTCCCAAGCAAAATCTGCTGTTCTGACCTTATTTTCAACTCCAGAGTCAACA